CCCTCCAAACACTCCACCTGGTCATGCCCAGCACTTTTAATTTTAATTATTACATTTGGCCCTGCCATTGATCTTAATTGCATTATTGTGTGTTGTTAATGTTATTGCTTTGTTTTTTGAGTTATTTTGTTGCTGTTGTTGTTATTGTTTTTACTATTGTATTTGGGCTCAGCCTCATGTAAGCTGCACTGAGTCCTTTGGGAGATGGTAGCCGGGTACAAATAAAGGTTTATTATTATTATTATCTTTCGGGTTGCAAAGGTCGACAACAGGCTACACACAATTGGTTGGAAACCCACTTCAACCTGGGCTGGCTTCAAACTCATGACCTTTAGGTCAGAATGATCTTAATGCAGCTGACACTCAGCCAGCTGCGCCACAATCCCGGTGCATCAGTTTAGCTCAGGTCACCCACTCATTTTGTGATGAGATATATTCTTCATACATACAATATGGGTAGAAAAGGGGGAGAAAAAACATTATTGCCACTATCATTGTAGATTTTTAAAATGGGGGAAAAATGAATTTAGCTGTCATAATGTCTTAAAATTCTTACTGTTTCTCCCCAACACTTGAGAATTCTGTCCTACCAATTTAAATTAGAATATATGCCATGTTTCAATTGCTTTATGTGCTTTATAGTAGATAAAATATGTTAATTTGTGTAAATGCTGTTCTGAGTGTAAATGCTTATGCTGAAAGCATGCTTATCTTTAAAGCTGCATGTCTTTCATTCTTGGCTTCTTTTATATGCTCACTTTATTTTTTTAATGCATGTCTTAATATTTGAGGAGACTTTTAAAAGAGAACATTTGAAGCTATGTGGAAAGAACCTCATGACTTCATCATAAATATTCATGAGCTCATCGACAGTCTTTTTTTTTACTGAATTGCTAAGGTTTTTTTCTTGAGTTTTCAGCCAGTGTTCTTCAGGCTCTTTTGTGCTGTGCTTCATTGCCATGGATTAGCAAAACTGGAATGCTGGTGTTGCTGATCTGTTCTAAATTTAATGTTTTTTTAAATGAAGAGATTCAGTTTGCCTTCTATGGTTATCATGTGGTAGTGTATCTCACCCCATGGAATTTCAAAACAATTTAACACTATGAGTAACAGACATCATGGTGGCAATAAGAACCAAGTTTGATTGATATGATTCAGTTATTCCCACACACTGGGCACTTTCTAAAATAGCCACGGGAGCCCTCTGCATGTTGTGGGACAGCAACTTCCAGCACTTTTAGACACATAACCCATTATTGATTAATGATGGAAATTGCAGTGCAGACAAGATTCAAAGGGCTGCATCCTTGCTCTAAGTTCAGATGTACTCAGATGCTAGGTAGCACTCAGAGAAATTGAAGTTTGATTGTTTTCTTTTTAGGGAAAGAATTACTTTTGTAAATTTGTTTTCATTTCAAATACCTTCAGAGCTTGTATTCCTATGGTCCCCTTGGATCCATGCGGAGATTACTCTTTTTTTCCTCTTGTGTTGTTGTGCAGGTACGGCTGTACCAGGAGCTCCAACTTTATTTTCTTTCTGTTATCTGTTTGCAGTCATAGGGCAGGCCACCTGTCCATCATAATTAAGCTTTGGTTCTGCCCCTTGTTCAGGGCTCTGGGAGGGAAAGGAGCCATTTTTGGTCAGTCTCACATAAGGAAGCTAAACTATAGGACGTAGACCAGCTCGTCCCGTAGAAAAGCTTCTTTTCTCAAGAACATCCGGGGAAACAGAAACAGAAATTCCAGGGAAAAGGTCCCAAGGCTCTGGCTGAGAGCTCACAGCCTCTCAGCCTCACAGCAATCAGAGGGAAAACAGCCCTGAAGTTTTCAAAGAATTCTCTGAGGGAGGACAGCATTACAGATCCACGGAACTCCAGCTGAAATATCTACAAGCCTCGGCTGGTAGGTCTACTCGATACCCAGACGCATTTGGAATCGGTAGTAGGACCCACATCGATGAGGCATAGATAGTAAACAGCCTGGGAGAGGTTAAATAGGGTTTTTCTTACAGAGAAAGTACAGTTAATCAAAGTCAGGTACCAGTCCATTGAGGACTAGACTAAGAAAGCCTTGAAGTGTTGTTTGAACCATTGAAGATTTGTTGTTTGTTCCATAATAAAGACTCTAAAGACCATCACTTCAGAAAAATCCCTGAGAACCTCTCTCTGAGGCTTCCCGCTGGGCTTAAAGTATACGTCCTATAGAAAAGACAGCTGTTACAGGCCCAGCACACGACAGAACAGTTGTGCATTGTTTAGAAATCTAGCTTTTACAACCTACCTATTGTCTGAGACATTAGGGCTCTTCTGAGGTGATACGACACCTCGCCGGCACCCTGGCGAGAAGACGAGCCGCCACATTTTGCACCAGCTTCAGTTTCTGGATCACTGACAAAGGAAGGCCAATGTAGAGGGTGTTACAGTAGTCAAGCCTCGAGATGACCGTCGCCTGGATCACCATAGCCAGGTCGTTCCTAGATAGGTAGGGAGCCAGTCGCCTAGCCTGACGCAGATGGAAAAACGCAGATCTGCTCACAGCAGAGACCTGGGCCTCCATTGTGAGCAGAGGGTCCAATAAGACACCAAGGCTTTTTACAGAAGATGACGGACATAGTGTCTCGCCATCCAGGGTAAGCAGCTGGATCTCCCTATTAGGAGTTGTAGTCCAGCAACATCTGGATGACTGCAGGATTTTTTGCCCTGAATCGTACTATTGGCTTGACAATATACTATACTGTTTGAATCCAGGAAGGAAATTATTAACTCAATGATTATTATATTTGAAAAAATATTTTTGGGTTACATAGTTCTCTGTGGTAAAGAGATAGCAGCATTTTTATTAGCTTATCCACCCTCCACTTGAAATAATTTGTTGGAACCCAGATATCAAGCAAATCTGGCCTAAAGGACTGCCATTTGTGTGTATTGGAATTTTTTTAAGTGCTGGGATCTTCAAGGGAAAAGTTGTCCATTTATTCAATAAGAGCACCATACACATTTGTGCCATTTGTTAAATACAGTGCATTTTACATTTCTATCTCTGAAATAGTAATTCATTGTCCTGTATCACTCATGGACTGTGAAGTGTATATCATGCTAAGGGGAAATGAAATTCATGTTCACTGCTGAAGAATCTACAGTTTCCTGCCAGCTGATAATAAATGCCCAGTCAACAGTAATGCTAGTCTCTGTAATGAGAACATCAACGTAGATAAATCAGACATTATTGAAGACATTTTTTCCTGGTAAAATGGAAATAAAATGTGCTAGCTGGATGTTACTCACTGCTGATTATTCATCTATATTCATTGAGTTTCTATGTGTTGGCCATTTAAGCCAATAGTTATGAAAATGGGATGCTTTGTAAGTTAATGGTTTGGGATTTCAGTACGAAGCTTGGTAGAAATACAGAAGGTCTCTTGATATTTCTGTTAGGGTGTTTTCATGCCTTTCTTTGAGTTTTACTAAAATATCTGCAATATATGAAGGCTGCTGTGCACGGTGTCATTTTTCAAAATAGAATCTGGGACATTCAGCAGATCTGTTTAAAGGACTGACTGATGTAGGCTGGGAACCACCACAGCTGAGATTGGCACAGATGGATGGACGCCCATCTTTGAAATGTTTACACCTTTCAAATGTCTTACTGTGACTGGGTGTCTCATTATTGTACTGTGCCTGCAGTCTTTTGTAGATGTCTGTGAGTTTTATGCATTTGTTCACAAAAAACTTCATCATCACATGCTGTTCCACACATGCACTAATACTCTTCTCTGCCATCTTGGTTAACGGCCTCATCAGATGGGGTAAATGCCATGGCTCAATGATATGCATTGCTGGTATTTATTTATTTATATTTTATTTAAAACATTTAAATTCTGTCCTTCTCACCCCGAAGGGGACTCAGGGCGGAGCACAGCATCTACACAGCAGACATTCAATGATGGGACACAGATTCACATACAATACATAAACATTAAAAAACATTGATCAAAATATTAAAATACACCATTTAAAACTGTCCTAGTCATCCACAACAAATCTAATTGGCCTGGTAATCTTTTGCATTGCTGCTTTATTGCCTTGTCCTGAAAGCTTGGTCCCACAGCCTTTATCCTTCTAAAGGACAGGAGTGAGGGGGCCGACCTGATCTCACCAGGAAGGGAGTTCCATAGCTGGGGAGCAATCACTGAGAAGGCCCTATCGTCCCCACACAATGGTGGGACGGAAAACAGGGCCTCCCTGGAGGATCTTAATCTTTGCAATGGTTCATAGGGAGAGATGCATTCAGAGAGGTAATTTGGGCTGGGGCCATTTAAGGCTTTATAGGCCAACCTCATCTGCCAGGGCTCCATGCTTAAAGGGGCAGTGAAGAGGAGCAACCCACAGTTGAAGCAACAAGGGAGGGTTCCTATGATTGTGTCCAATTCAGGGCACCACAATTCAAGAGAGTATTGACAAGCTGGAATGTGTCCAGAGGAGGGCGACTAAAATGATCAAGGGTCTGGAGAAAAAGCCCTATGAGGAGCGGCTTAAGGAGCTGGGCATGTTTAGCCTGAAGAAGAGAAGGCTGAGAGGAGACATGATAGCCATGTATAAATATGTGAGAGGAAGCACAGGGAGGAGGGAGCAAGCTTGTTTTCTGCTTCCCTGGAGACTAGGACGCAAATGGCTTCAAACTACAAAAAAGGAGATTCCATCTGAACATTAGGAAGAACTTCCTGACTGTGAGAGCCGTTCAGCAGTGGAACTCTCTGCCCCGGAGTGTGGTAGAGGCTCCTTCTTTGGAGGTTTTTAAACAGAGGCTAGATGGCTATCTGTCAGGGGTGCTTTGAATGCAATATTCCTGCTTCTTGGCAGGGGGTTGGACTGGATGGCCCATGAGGTCTCTTCCAACTCTATGATTCCATGATTCTATGATCTTCGTGGGAATTCAGTCGCGTCCCTGTTGATTCACTGGTGAGTCAGGAAATTTTGGATAGCAATGGCTCCACACTCCTGCATCGCATATGCATGATTATGATGATTATTAAAATCTATGAAGGTCCCACATTGGAGCCCTATCAGTATAACGACATAACCCAAACTAGGTAGCCCAACCCCACTTATCTCCTTGTAATGTGTTTGGTATAACTGTTATTCACCTTCCCTGAATAGAAAATATGAGCAGCAAGACTGGTCTTGTTAACTAGAGTCCAAGTTAACTTCTATCATTCATCATCCCTAATCAGAGAAGGCATAAAGTTGAAAAAAGCCCCTTCACATGGGTTCTTATCACATTACTTAGTTGTTTCAGTTCATTTCACTTGAAAACCACTTCTCCCATAT